TATGGTACTTCTTTAGAAATTTCCAAAAATATAATAATTAAAAATTAATTTTAAAGCAGTCAAAGGGAGGGTGGAAAAAAGAATATTTTAATAAAATTGTTAAATGTGTTGATAAAAGGGCAGGAGAGATGGATGTGAGCATGGGGTAAAAGGTGAAAGTGGAAATAGAGAAACAGGTGAGGCGTAATTTAGTTTAAAAAATGTGTGTGTGAGGGGGGAAATAGTGGAAAAGGATGAATTTAAAAATTGTTGAAAACAGGTTTGGAAACAGTATTGGTAAATTGGCATTTTTTTAATTAGTATACGTTGGGCCCCGCTTTCGGTTTTGTAATGGCGTAAGACATTTCAAATTATGACCAAAACTTTTCTATATGGTCCCCCTGTCTTTCTAATACAGTACCGGCCCCACCCCTTTTTTACATTTCGTGAGCTCTGCATCCTCCATTTGTTGGAAACTTCCAAAATTTCAGTGTTTTTTTGTTATTTATATTTTAATATGTACTTTGTAATTTATTTGTGTACCTGTAACCCAAATAAACTTGTAAACTGTGCGGCCTGGGCACATTAAAATACTAAGGTGTTTTATTATCTTGAAAATGCCATATTAATAATGATAACAAAAAACAAAACAAATAAAAATTACTCTGAGGTGCATTAAACCCTTTTACTGTTTCGGTATAAAAAAGTCTTCGGCCAAGTTTTGCGTATTTTGCTAAATTTAGAATTCAAACAGCGGGGGAAAAGTGGTAGGCCCAATGTGAGGAATGGGTTCCCCTGGTCGGTGCCCATTTTAAAAAAATCGGGGAGCAGTGGGCATGTGGGAAAGCCTTTTTTAGTTGTCCCTTTTTTAGATGTTAGCGGTAAGGGAAAAATGTGATTCCCCGCAAAACTGGGAACTTTCTTTCCAAATGATGTCTAACCGGGAAGTGTCAGTGAAAATCAATTTCATGTTTGGAGGAGTTTGAGCCAAAAAACAATGGAGGGGAGGAGGGGGAGGAGGGGAGGAAGAGGAGGGGAGGAGGAGGGGGGGGGAGGGGAGGAAGAGGAGGAGGAGGGGGGGAGGAGGGAAGGAAGAGGAGGAGGAGGAGGGGGGAGGAGGGGGGAGGAGGAGGAGGGGAAAAGGAGGAGGAGGAAGAAGAAGTGTAAAATATTGTTCCCCTTTAAACAAGAAAAAAAAAAGTCCACCCATGACAGTGACAAAGGGGAGATAACATCTGATAAGGTGACTTTTAGAGCTAAAGGGGGTAATTTACATGACCATCGCCCTCCCTTTGTTTTTGTGGTACACAAACATTTGTCGTTGTTATTGTCTGTCTGTAAGCTCCTGCTGTCCATCTAGTCTCTGTCTCAGAGAGGCCACAAGACGTGTATCCTTTATCACATTTTCAAGCAGAGATAGCACTTTGTCTGGATTTCTTGGGTTACCTAGGTAATTTTCATATGTTACTTGTATTTTGTGTACTGTGGACAGAGATAGGCAGGGCAGATAAAAGAGAGACGATTGAAAGATATAGAATGAGGGAGAAAATAATTTGATAGAAAAGGAGGAGGGGAAGCGCTCGACCCCTTGTTTTGACAGGCGTAGGGGTGCACAATGAGCAAAATGTCACTTGACAGCTGCGACTTCTGATCAAAAAAAATTTTAGCCACACACTGCACACAAGACAGGGGAGGAGGGAAAGGGGGAGGGAAGGAGGAGGGGAGGAGGGAAGGAGAGGAGGAGGGGGAGGAGGAGGAGGAGGGGGGGGGAGGGGAGGAGGGAAGGGAAGGAGGAGGAGGGGAAGGGGAGGAGGAGAAGGAGGAGGAGGAGAAGAAGGAGGAGGAGAAAAAGGAGGAGGAGAAGGAGGAGGAGGAGAAGGAGGAGGAGGAGGAGGAGGAGGAGAAGGAGGAGGAGAAGGAGGAGGAGAAGGAGGAGGAGGAGAAGGAGAAGGAGGAGGAGGAGGAGGAGGAGGAGGAGGAGGAGGAGAAGGAGAAGGAGAAGGAGAAGGAGGAGGAGGAGGAGGAGGAGGAGGAGAAGGAGGATGAGAAGGAGGAGGAGGAGGAGGATGATTGTTTGTTTGTTTTTGTAAACAAGTTTTGTAAACAATATATTGAAAATTATGTTTGTGTGTTATTGTGTTGTATACAACGAGTGTATATATATACATTGCACCTTACTTTGGTCTCATAGGCCACATAAGTTATGTGAAAAAATAAAATAGTGAAAAAAACAAAAACCTTCAATTACAAGTAAACTAAAGTTTACCGGGTGAGCGGCAGTCGCCGCTGTTGCCATACGTGGCTCATTTTCTGCAAACTTCACGGCTCTATATCTCGGTAAGTACCGATAGCAAAAATTTTTTTTTTGGACTAAAACACTCAGAAAAATAATCTTAACATTTTCATAAAAAAAAATTATTTTTTTTTTTTTTTGAATATTTGGCGACATAGAATGACAGTTTCAGAGAGGGGCCTGAAACAGTCAAAGGGTTAAATGTCATATAAAATGTTAATATAGACATTTTGCTTAATCCATCTATGATATTTTTTTCAAAATTATATAATAAACACACTATGTAACAAACATGATAAATACACCCACAGTAGAATAAATTAACATAAATATGAGATGTTTTTCCATTCGTGTTGTCGGAGTGTCATAAGGAATAACATTTTCTATAGTCCAGCACCAAAGAAAATGTGTACACAATAGTATTACTGGGGGAACTGTAAAAAATTATTCTTTTCATATGCCTTCAGTCAGGGCATTATTTCTTCTAAAAATGGTGTGTTACATGGTGTGTTATACCAATGTGGGAGAAATTTTTACGCCTATGTAAAATGTGTGTATTATGATATAAAACTTTACAAAATGGAAATGAACTTCTGCAGCTACCTGTCCTCTCTGATTTACTGGTTCTCTCTCTGACTCTTGTTTATTCGTTTTTTTATCTAATTTACTCACTCACCCTACGTCAAGACTACAAAATATTTTAAGTAATGAGTGTACTGTATATGCATTTATTCTCTCTAGGGTCACTTCAAATGCCTTGTATATTGTGTGGGTGGGTGGCCAGATGGGCTACCTTACCTACCACACTTGACTTCCTACTAATTAAATACTATTACCTTTGCACCTTATATTAAGGACCATAACCTTAAACTGTCCAAAAAGGTTACGTTACTTGCGTAGTGCTCCAAAAAGTAGATATACGTTTTTTTTACATATTTTCAAAAACAGTCTATAACAAAAAAAAAAATGTAGATCGAAGTTTTTATAACATTTTTCAAATGTAAAAAAAAAAAAAAAGTCTACATTTTTTTACATTACTTTCAAATGTTGAAAAACGATAGTTCTACGTTTGGACAGTTTTAGGGTTAAGACTACAAACTATTTTAAGGTAAGTTAATAAGCATACACTATATGCATTTTATCGCTCTAGGGAGGTTTTATTATGACTGTAAATACATATATTATGTGTGGGGTGGGTGGGGGGAGGCAGGATGGATACCATACCTACCCACCTGACTTCTTGCAATAAGAAACCACTTCTCACTTTCTCACCATACATTAAGACTACAATATTTTGAGGGAAGTAATGAGTGTACTGTGTGTGTACCTATTACTTTTTATTGTTTTTAATGCCTAGTTCTATTGCCAACTTAACCCTTTCAGGGTTTCGGACGTACTAGTACAGCTTAGGCACCCCAGGTTTTTGACGTTATAGTACGCCTAAATTCTACGCCCTCAAATCTTGTGAGAGAAAGATGGTAGGCCTACTTATGAAAGAATGGTCTATGTGGTCAGTGTGCGCAGTTCAGTATAAAAAAATCCTGCAGCACACAGTATGAATGAAGAAAAAAAAAAACTTTGACCATGTATTTTGGATTAAAACAGGAGACTTTGCATGTACTTTCATAAGAGAGAGAGATTTCGTTCGGTATTTTTTAACCCGGAGGGTTATAGCCACCCAGGGATAACCCAAGAAAGTCAGATAGAGTTCATCGAGGACTGTCTAACTTATTCTCATTTGGGGGGTCCTTAAATCCATTGCCCCCAGGATGCGACCCACTCCAGTCGACTAACACCTGGGTAACCTATTTGTTGCTAGTGTGAACAGGACAAAGTGTAAGGAGAAAAGTGTCGAAATGTTTCCACCCGCCGGGAATCCGAACCCGGGTCCCTCCATGTGGAAGCTGGGGGGAGCTTTAGCCACCAGGCCATTTTATAGAATGGAAGACATACTCAGAAATTGAGATATTTTAACTGGTTTTACTATAAAAATTACCTTGAAATTGAGCTCAAAGTAACAGAAATGTTCGATTTTTACCAGTTCTAAAAGTAAACAAATCATGTACGCTGTCCAATATCTAGTCAACTGGCGAGTCTAATTTTCTTTCTAAGTGCGCTGATATTATTTTTACCATTTCTTACACTATGCAGTAGTCTGCATACAGGTAAATCTCTACTTTTTGTGTTAATAAAATTTCAAAGTGTGGAAAGCAAAAGGAATGTAAGAGGGGCGTGGGGACAGTGACTAATGAACATAAGGAAATGTTATTTTAGTGCCAGGAATGTCTTTCTTGTTTATTCTGGGCGACCTTATTCGGAAATTGGCATCTTTTGAATTTGCGTGAAAATTGGCAAATTGCTAAATTCTGCACCACTTTATTAGATAGTTTAAAATCAGTAAATGGGTTGTTTCTTGTACTCATTCGATTAGAAAATAAATGGAGTTTCTAGCGAAATAGTTATGATTTTTTTGACATAAGTACACTGGAATGGCCAAAAATAGGGTCCAAAGTGGGCAAAATCGCCGATTGCATAAACTTCGTTTGAGAACCACTAACTCGCAACGAGGGGCGTAAGAGACGTAATTCCATAAGTTTTCATCTAATTTCATATCTTTTGGTGTTTGTATTTGTTTGTGGAAAAGATTCTTCTATCTTTTTTCATAGAAAAAATAATTTTTTTGTTAAAAATTTGGCGACCCCGAGAACAAGTCTCGGAGTGGACCCACCTAGCGACCTGAAAGGGTTAATATAATGTTTGTGTAAACTTATTACTCTGAGATCTGTATAAGTGGAAACAAATGGGGCTCGCTTTCTGGCAATGTCTGCTTTATCCTGCGCTAGCCTGGAACCTAACTCGGGGCCATATAAGTGGCGGCCCCCTACTGTATAAGAAAAAAAAGGTATTTAAAGTCTGGCAAGAAGCATGAATACTTGTTCTGTCTATGAATTAATAATAATATATAAAATAATTTCTATGACAGTACATGCATTAATGGTATACAGACCTAGCTGACATTCTATGACATACTTATAGAAAAGGCCCCTGGTTATGCAGAGCATTTCAGGAAACGATTGGTTTATGTTTGTCTCCAGGATGTAGACCCACACCAGTCAGCTCACACCTAGGTACCTATTTATTGTTAGGTGGTTCAGGGACAGCATGTGTTCTTAAGGAAACATGCCCAATGTTTCCACCTGTACCGGGGAGCAAAACCCGATGGACCTCGTGGGAATAAGTTTGTTGATTATAGTGGATAAAGTGTATGCCAAAATTATTGAAAGTGTTATGAGAAGATCAAAAGTAGGAAAGGCACAAAACAAAGGGTGGAGAGTGATGTATGGAAGATGTATAAGCACATAAGCAGGTAATAATTAGATTAGAAGTGAGAATGATGAGCACGGAGATTGACAGACATGTATTGTGCATATATGCCAGTGGGCCTCATAGCGCCTGTAATACTATTACTATTGTACCACATCTCCAAGCTTCTATTTTTAATAATTATTCTGTTTCAACCAAAAAAATTAAAATTCGCTTTATAAAGTACATTGAAAACAACATACAAAAGATTCTTCCTGTAATATATTTGTCAGTTGCAAATTATTTTAGTGTAAGGTTGATGAAGTTATACATCTGGCAGTGAGCATCTGGGGACTATCTGCAGTTCCTATGGAAAGCCTGCCAATGTATGTAGCTAATAAACACAGAACCAAGCGATAACAGATGCAAAAGAATCACAAGGTGGAGGGGTCGAATGACAGCTCATACTGAATGACAGTTGTCATTCAACTCATCCACCCTGTGGTTGTTTTGTGCACACTCATGCATGCATGCATACTTTATATTATTACAGGTAACAGATATATACAACTTACCTTTCTCTTGATGACTGGATAATACTTTTAATAATGCCATCTTTAAAACTTGCCAAGTCTTTCTTAATAAGCGGATAATGACAAGAGCATCTTTGAGGGTCACAGGTCTTGTACGATGCCACTGCTTCCTCAATCAGTGTGATGTATGTTACCCATTGTTCATTGGCTTCTGAAATAAATACTAAGAATATACATACATTCCTGTAGAATCTTGCAGAACAATACTCTAGAATAAAACTGATTTAACAAACCCCAATCTAACTAATTCTGGATACAATACACAAAATCTGAGGCCAGATAATGTCCAAAAAATTAACAAAGTCCATTAAATCCAGAATTAACCATTACTTTTATGATCACAGAAAAAGTATCATATGGATTTAATGAACAAGCAGCATTAACCCTTAAACTGTAGGTCACATGGACCTACATCAATGGTATCAGCATCGCCTCCATGCCGTAGATTATATGCATAGGGAAATTAAGAGAGTATCAGGAGTATTATAACACAAATTCCAATTATACAATATAGCTAAAAACTAATGTGAAGGACCTGAGAGTGATAATGTCAGAGGATCTCACTTTCAAAGATCACAACAATGTACCTATCACATCTGCTAGGAAAATGATAAGATGGATAATGAGAACCTTTAAAACTAGGGATGCCAAATTCACTATTCTCTTCAAATTACTTTTTTCTCTCTACACAGGAATATTGTTGCAAACTAATGGCCCCTTTCACAGCAGGCAAAATTGCAGACCTGGAGAATGTACAGAGGACTTTCACTGCACGTCTAAGTACGATAAGGCACCTAAATTACTGGGAATGGTTAAATCTCTTGATCTGTACTCCCTGGAATGTAGGTGAGAAAGATACATAATATACACCTGGAAAATCCTAGAGGGACTAGTCCCAAATTTGCACATGAAAATCACTCCCTACAAAAGCAAAAGACTGGGCACAAGACGCAACATCCCCCATGAAAGCAGTGGTGCCACGAGTACACTAAGACAACACAATAAGTGTCAGGGGCCCAAGACTGCCTCCTAGCATACATAAGGTGGCCTGGTGGCTACAGCTCTCGCTTCACACACAGAGGGCCCTGGTTCAATTCCCAGCGGATGGAAACATTTCGACGCGTTTCCTTACACCTGTTGTCCTGTTCACCTAGCAGCCATAGGTTACCTGGGTGTTTGTTGACTGGTTGGGGAGCTCACATCCTGGGGCGCAAGCTTGAGGACCCCATGGAAATAAGTGAGACCAGACAGTCCTCCAATGATGCATTGACTTTCTTGGGTTATCCTGGCGTGGCTAACCCCTCTGGGTAAAAATCCGAAGAAATCTTATCTCTCATTATCTTATCTTACTAAATAGACCCCTGGCATGTCTTCAAGGGGGGGAAAGGCCTTGGACAGGCACTAGTCAGATACCTGCCCATCTGAGTGGTGGTTTAATACGTCGGTTTCCATGATCGGCCAACTTGTAACAGCCATGATGATCAGGCTCTGATCCACCATGAGCCTTGGCACAGACATGCTGCAGGGTGGGGGGTTTAATCCCAAAAACCTCGCCAGAGTCCAAGGTTTATACCATAAGAAACATCAAAATTTGACCGATCTGAGTAGCAGATGTTTGGCCACAATATGAGAGGATGCATGTGTTGTAGGTGTAACACAATAAGAATAGCTAACCTCTGGACCTGCAGTTGGGCTAAAAATACCAACTTGGAGGGAAAGTTAATTTTAGCCTGCCCCATAATGCTCTGCATACAGGGGCTTTTGTTATGTTTCACCCACTACTATAATACCTTGTACAATTGAATCATGTCCTATAAAAACTATTATTATATACAGTACTTATTATTATTATAATAAGGGGGTTGTCTTCAGGTGCACTTGTTTTTTCTTTGCTGTTTCTTTGTGCCATAGATAGAACAGACGACATACATGAACTGGAGTGAAGATTCTGAATAGTTGAAAACCAGAAGTGGATTTAAGGTGGCAGAAATTGTTGATTTAGGGGCACCTTTTTACTAGGCAATGCATCAATTACTGGGGCAGTAAAAACCATGCGAAGTATTCTTAGTATCCTTTTTACAGACAATTAGCAAGAAAATAGGAAAAAAAAACAAAAATTTTTTGTAAGACCGATGGGATTCAATAAGGAAAGAGTGTTCCTATAGGAGAGCTTGGGGGATGTGCCTATATGTTTGTTTTAGGCTCGTGGTTTTTAAATTGGATTTTAATGAAAAGTGTAATATTTATCAAAGATTACCAGACGTTCTAATTTTTATTTTTTTGTGTATAACCTTTACAAAAGAGTAAAATTATTTTATTATGTTTTTAAAAAATTATGAAAATAGGGGGCTTTCAGTTGTGTGGGGGCATGCAGCACAATTTGGCGGGTTAATGGACAATCCCCTGCTTCTATTGAGTTCGTTTAAATCAAGGCTTCAGTCATAATGAATTCACTCAACAACTTGAAATTATCACTCTGCATAAGTATTGTACTTTATCTTAGATCAGAGAAGCCTTCTATTGAATCGATGGCCACCTTGAAATATGGGGAAAATCTAATTATAGCAGCATCCCCTATGCATAATTTTTAGTGAAGAAAAAATGGCTTTAGATTATAGCTACAGGTCCTCCTCACCTTAAACGGCTACCTGATTTATGCAAACTGCTCAGATTTTAAGACCAGCTCCCCAACCAGTGTACTGTACGTACAAGGCATGTGTATTTTATTCTCTTATTGTTTTTGAATGCCTAGTTCTAATTTTAATTATTATACTAAAATAGTATAAAAGGTGCTAGGACAACATTTAAACAATATCCATAGATGGTTTGACTCAAACCCCACTACCTGTACAGTATGAATGAAAATATTCAGTAAAGAGGCAGTTTGTTAACAACAAAATTCTCTTACTGGCCTACTCTTAGGCATGGGAACTAGGTTGTTAAAGTGAGGAGTAACTGTATTAAACATTTAGAACATATAGCATCAGTGATGGCTGACGTGAATTACAGAGGATTATTACATGGAACCTTGAGTTTTCGCCATTAATTAGTGTCCAGGAAGTGTTGACGAAAACCGAATTTGGACGAAAATGAGCAATATTTCTATAAGAAATAATGTAAGTCCAATTAATCTGTTCCATGCACCAATGTATTAAAAAAAAAAAATACATTTTGTAGAGAATAACTGTAGATTTTAGAAACAGAAAAACAATGAGAAATAAAATATAAAGGACTAATCACTTTACTTTATTGAAAGACTCTTTGTTGGTGTATGGAAGACAGTGAGAGGGGAGAGGGAGGAAGAGGTTATCTCTACCACCATCACTATCACCCTCTACCACCATCACTACCACCTCTACCACCATCACTACCGCCATCATACAACCCTTCTGATCACGCATCACTACCTCCCTCTACCACATCACTCACCACCCTCCTACCACCATCAACTACCACCCTCTTCCCACCATCACTGCCACCCTCTACCCACCATCAACTACACCTCTACCACCATCATGCCACCCTCTACCACATCAGTACCACCTCTACCACCATCACTACCTCCCTCTACCACCATCACTAGACCAACCCTCTACCACCATCCTACACCCTCTACCACCATCACTACCACCTATACCACCATCACTACCACCCTCTACCACCATCACTCCACCCTCTACCACCATCACGACCACCTCTACCACCATCATACCACCCTCTACCACATCACTACCACCCTCTTACCACCATCACTACCACCCACTACTCACCATCACTACCACCCTCACACCATCATACACCCTCTACCAACCATCACTGCACCTGTACCCCATCACTAACACCTCTACCACCATCACTACCACCCTTCTACCGGCCAGACTGACTCAGAATGTGTGGGCGTGGTGCTGGACACCGTTTGGTTACGGCAAACAGACCTATGTTAACTCGACGAACACCGAGGTAGATGAACGAAACTGGGAAAAAATTATGATGAAAAAAAGTTGTTGAAAACAAATTCGCGAAAACAGGGCAAATGGAAACCGAGGTTCACTGTATTTGCAAAAAACATTAAACAATGGGTGTGTAATAGTATCTGGGAAAATGGGAGGCAATCAGTTTTGATGAGGGAATGAAAGGATAGTTAATTCTTGAATCAAGAGCCTATTCACTGTATCAAGGAAACAATCCCCTGAGTTCTGCCCATAAGAGATGATGCACTTTTAATTTCTTTTCACAGAATTAAAACTGTGAAATTAACTTTGTACGTTGATGATACAGATTAATACTGATCAAAGCTAATTTTATCATAAAATGAAACTAAAAGCCTTTAAAGAACATTCAAACTACTCACTGGAACTACCATGAACTGCTTCCACTTTACCCTTCTGCTCCTGTCAGGGTTATTAGTGCCAAAAAGCTGTGGTAGAGAGGGTGTTTGTAGCTTTGAAGGTAGCATGCTCTGGCTCACACCCTCAAGGATGAATCAAATCCAGGAATGGCTGAAATGTGGGGAAAGCTTCATTAACCTGCTGCCCTGTTTGCACTAACAGTAAGTAGGTATCTGGATGTTAGCTGAGACTATGTGGGTCACATCCTAGGGTAGATTTAAAGGAATCCTAATGAAGGAGATACTGACAGTCCATGCATGATGCACTGACTTTACGGGTTATCCTGGGTGGAAAATCCTCTGAGTTTAAAACATCTGAAACACAAATCTTAAGTAGCCAAATGTACAGCAGTCTGAAGAGTTGAAAATGTTTTTAATCTAAATCTGAGGGGAGTAAAAAAAAATACTAAAATCTGCTTGAAGCTGAGTGGCCAAGAGTGAGTTCTTCAAGCTTGTAGCCTGTGCTTGGCATCAATAGCTTAGTTAATAAATGATGGTTTGCAAGAAACGTGCCAATGTTCCATCTAGTGACTCAAGATACAAACTTGTTGGTTAGTTTCCTTATTTAAAGGAAAGGGTATTGAGCCTTGAACACTGATGCTGGTATTTATCTCATAGTTCACTTATACTATTTTCACACCCGATGTCTACTCAGCTCGCCATTCCTCTTCCTTCAATCTTATTCAAGAATTCTACTCCTGAAACCCAACCTATGGCGCGTCGACATCAGCAGTAATGCATGCAGCTTACAGCAAAGACCACTCGCTTGATTCTGG